GGTCAAGTTGCTGGAAAGGGGGTGCTGGTGTGCCCAAAGCCCACACCTCCCAACCCTGAGACTGAGTGGCTGATTCGAAGTGAAAAGGTACAGAAAGGGCTATGCAGACCCAGCCTGGGCACCTTTTGGGTAGGACACAAGGGCAAGTCGATCCCACAGACGGTAAACCCAGAATTTTGGCCTGTGATGAGAATGTGTGTCTCAGGAAGATAAAAACAGCCTGCTCAGAGCCACCCAGCTTTGCCTGTTAAAGCTGAGCTTACCCCGTCAATGCCAGACTGATGATGGCAAGATCCCAGGGGCACAGGCACCAAGTGCCAGGGTTAACAGTACACCCTCCCAGGAGGTCTCTTCCTGTGGTCCCTCCTTTTCAGGCTGCCACAGGAACCATCTCTGTCTGGATAGGCCTTCATGGCTCTGAGCTTTGAGGCAATGTTTCCCCAAGGACCTCTCTCTTCTGTAGCTGGCTCCTCCTATCAAATTGTCCCCTGGGGAGCTGAGGAAAACAAAGGAATGTTAGCCAAGGGGAAAGAAAGGTCAGCACACACGCAAGAGCACACACGGGCACATGCACACTCACACACACATGCATACTCACACACACACACACACACACACACACACACACAGGAACGCACACATTGATGTGCTCAAGTCGGGAGGGTAAAATGCTTCTTGGGAGGAGGCTGATTGCTGAGAGGCGCTTAGAATACAGCCTTTGCCTGACACAGGCTGGAACTGAACTCCATGTCTTTGGTGGAAAGGGAGCCCTTGTCTGGTGACAGGAAAAGTCTGGTCTGATTTATTGGTGCTAGGGCTGGGAAAGTCCCCAGAGTAGGGTTCTGCCCCAGGAAAGCATTTGCTAGATGCCATGCCCCCTCCAACCACACCGTCAGGATATCTCTGGGGACAGTAAGTTCCTGTGTGGGTGGAACACTCCCGGAAGGCTGCCTGGAGGAGTTGTGGTAGCCCCAAGTTTTCCCTTCAGAGGCTACCTGCTGTACCTGGACTCCGCTTGCTTTGATGCGGCTCGGGTCATGGAAACCAGTGTCTTTGCACTGAGCAGACAGCTTCTGGCCTCCATCTGCACTCAGCCTGCTGTAGCTCCTGCTCACAGATGAGTGTCAGCTTCCATGCGCTTGGCTTTCCCCCAGAGCCAGGCCCAGTCACTCTAGTCTGCAGTCTGGCCAGAATTAACCCTCCAGGGACCTCCTCTAGCTTGTGTCGCAGCCGTGGATCCCTATCCCGTTGCCCTACAGTGACCACTGCGGTGCCCCCCCCCCCCCCCGTTGGCTGGATGTACTGCCCCGCTGAGCCAGAGAGGGGTGGGGAGACCAAGTGTAAGCCTGCTCTAGATTAAAACTGGTCTAACAGGTCGGTGTGAAAAGGGCTGCTCTGGCCTGCCCAGGCTCCTTTTCTAAAGGAAGACAGCCTCAGCTAGGTCCCCAGTGCCAGACCCCATCCCGATTCACAGACCCAGACCTTCCTGTGTGTTAGACAGTATTTGATTTCAGCCCCCAGGTCCCTGGCCTTTCACTTTACCCCAGACATGTAGGGTAGGAGGGTTCCCATCTGAGAGTGAAGGCAGCCAGTCATGGCTTCAATGCTATTTAGACACATATAGCCTTGGTCTAGCAGGGTCTGCTCAGACAGCAAGTTTAATGCTGGACTTAGGTTCAGGGGCCCTCGGGACCAAAGGAACTCAGTAATAGTGAGTGAAACATCTTAGCAAGACACGAACCAGTTAGACCTGCTGACAGAAAATACCTGGGAGACGTCGTAGTACCTGCTCCCCAGTCATTCCAGAGGCAAAGTCCAGAGAGGGACACTACGATAGGACCACTCTCCAAACCCATCCTCCTGTGGCCGGGCAGAGCCTTCCAGGGCCCAGCTCCAGCACCCTGGCCCGCAAGGCCCTGCTAAGCATCTCTCCTATTCTGTCTGGCTTCTGAATCTTGGGAGTCTAAGGCTTTGGCAGGCGAGGCTTCAGAGACTGGATAGAGTAGTGGTTACATGAAAAGGCTATGACCATGAGCTAGCCATGGCCTCTCTGTAAGTCAGTGGTTCTCAACCTTCCTAACACTGGAACCCTTTAATACAATTCCTCATGTTGTGGTGACCCACAACCATGAAATTGTTTTTGTTGCTTCTTCATAACTGTAATTTTGTTGCCATCAGGAATTGTAGTATAAATATCTGTGTTTTCTGATGGTCTTAGGGGACCCCTGTGAACCAGTTGTGACTCACAGGTTCAGAGTTACTGCTCTAAGCCTTACCCCTTCAGTTGAAAACAGGGACGACCTCTGTTAGTGTGCAGAGCTGGAGGGAGAATTAAAGGGGAATGAGCCACACCCCAAATTGCCACCCTTGCCTCCTCTGGTCTCCTATGGCACCCCACCCCTCTAAGTTCCATGCCTGTGAATCTCCTTTCTCACTGGTCACCTGCTCTGAGGCTCTCAGGGAGCATCTACTTAGGATCTGCAGCCCTGCTAGACCCCGAGGTGCTCCAAGGAGCACCAGAGCACAACTCTACCAGCTGGAGTAAATTCATTCATGGCCCTTTTGTCCTCCCGGCTCCATCCTGGATTCCAGGTTTGTTCCCAGTGTTTGGGACAGCCCTTCCCCCACATTATCCGTGAGAGCAGCCACCTTTTGCTCTGATAGCCAGGGTCACTGCCACCCCCCTCAGCACTTTCTCCATCCCTCTTTGCTGCAGAGTGACCCCACACCTAAGGCCACTCTCTGCCGCCTCTACTTTCTTCACCCACTCAAAACTTGCCCATTTGTTCACTTGTTTACAACTTCTCTCGCACTACCCACAAGTCCCAGGGGCATGGGGGCCATGTCTGTCTTGTTCCCTGCTGTGTCCCCAGGGCCTTGGTGGAGTCTGGCTCAGTTAGCGGCCAGAGAGCACATGTGAAGGGACTCAATCAGCAAAGGGTTACTATTAGTCACTATTAGGATATTACGCAGGGTCCCACATGTCCCCCTCATGGCTCACCCTTCCTCCCTAGCTAGTGCCAGCAGGGTTGCCCTTTTTAGTAGCCCAGGACCATCCAGGGGTGATTGCATTGGCCAGCTGCTTTTCCCTTTCTGTTAGGCTTGGGTCTGGGGTCCAATGACACGCTTTCTGCTGTCCCTGTCCCCAGGCAGGCATTGCTAGCCATCTCATATAAAGACTGAAATGTCAGTAGCTGGCAGCCCCTTCTCAGGAAAGAGACTCTGGTCTGAGGTGAGCCAGGGACGGCCCATTGCCAGGGCAGTCCCAGTGCTCTCAGCAGCCAGAAGCAGGTGGAGAGAAACGACTGTTCTAGCTGCCACCCAGTTGCCTCTCTCCATCTCACAGAGCCATGTGAGGCAGAGGGGCACTTAGGGTGAGTGCTGGTCTGGGCTCAGCTCTCTGAGTGGCCTCAGCCAGCCCCTGATCCTGGTATTTGAATGTAGGGTAGTATTTGAACCCCACTCCTATGGGACAGTCTTCATGCAGACTTGCCCCTGCAGGCCTTCTTAGACAGTCCCTCTTGTGAAGAATGAGGTTTTCTCTGCTTCCTTTTGTTATAGCAGCTGACTGTCCAGGCGGAGGCACCAGACTTGTAAAGCCTGCCTCTGGCCCCCACGTGCCCAGTACTTTCCCACTAAATGACTCAGATCTGGGGGGTGGAGGGCAACAGGGATTACCTCACACACTTTGGGAACTACAAAGAAACTGAGATCAAAATTGAAGAAAAGGCCCTACCAGGGCCATGGTGACACTTGGAAGAGGCACACTGTTGACCCCCACAGTTAGCAAAAGTTTTACCAGATGCCACCAGCAACTGAGAAGGTGTCAGACCAAAGAGATGGGCTTGGACACTACTCCCGGCTTTTAAAAACATCATCCATCCTTCATCTACTTCTTGTTCACCCAATGTCATTCCTTAAAAAAAAAGTATTATGTTTCATGTGTGTGTTTCTGTGTGTATAGGGGCACAGAGGCCTGGAGATGGCATCAGTTCCACTGGCACTGGGAGCTCCGGCCCTCTGAAAGAGTAGCATAAACCCCTGAGCCATCTTCCTGGCCCACATAGTGCCATTCCTCTTCTGTATCATGACTGTCCTCCTTGTCCTCAGTCCTGGGCCTCCCTGATTCTGGTTGTTTGTTTGTTTGTTTATTTATTTATGCCTCTTCTGTATCAAGACGCCACTTCTCATTCCTGCTCAAGATCCACCATTACTGGCCTCTTGTAATTCACAACTTCTAATGGTCTCAGGACTAAGAACATATCTCGAATTGTTTACAAAATAAGGCGTAGATGGCCATGAACAAGTTTCGAGGAGCTTTCCTGGGAGGCCCTCACGCATGGCTAGAGAAAACATCAGGCTGTAGCAGGGTCCCAGCAGCCTAAATACTCCCGAATCGGACCATCAACCCTGGACAGCATTTTCATTTTAATTGTATTTCTGATGTACAAGATCTTGACTAAGAGGAGACAGCCTGAGCAAGAATTTTGACACCCCTCCCCCAGACCAGACCCTACAGCTCATTGGTCACTATCTCTGACTCAATGGTCTACCCCACTGCCCCGGAAGAGCCCTCTGAGGCCTCCTGTCAGGGCTCCTCAGCATACCTGCATACCTTTGTTCCCACTGGACTTTTCTCCTTGCGAGGACTGCCTCCCTCCGTGCCCACTCGCACTTTGAATGGAGACTTCCTCTTCATACGCCTCTCGGGCTTGGAGCTCTTTTGCGACCACTTCCCACATACCTATAATGCAATGGATGGCACCCCAGAAGGCATGCCAACAGACCTTCACTTCCTGTCTCTCATTTCCCGAGGGAACAAGGGGGACGGTGACAAGAAAGGCAGCTCTCTGTTACCTGCACCCGTCAGTGCCCTGGCAGACTGCTCAGTCATGTAAGGTCCTGAGCGTCGGCTTTTCTAGATGCGAAACTGGGTCGTGATGACAGGATGAAAGGGAGACAAACTATCCGCAACTCCACATGCCCCACAGAAGGCTTCATAAATGGAAGGCATAATTTTATTATCGTTACAGAAAAATCAGTGGAAGGAAAGCCACCAGACTGGCTTTTGTGTTATAGTAATTGCTTTAGAACGTCTCCTTAGGTATGTATTTCTCCCTCTCTCACATGCAGGCATCAGTTCCACTGGAGCTGGGAGGAAGCAGCAGCGGCAGCCCTTCAGCTGGCATCCCCTTCCTGGCCCAGCGCGTGGCCCTCTGCAGGGGCCGCAGAGAAGCCAGCTCTGTGGACCCCTGGCGCTGGCCTGTGAGGATGAGCGTGAGCTCTGTGTTTCTGGCTCCTGTTTGTCTGGTTACCCAGTGTCTCAAAAGAGACTAGGAAGAAATGAGAGTGAGCACATCCATATGCAGGGCCAGGGCATTCAGGACTACTTTGGGCCCAACAATACATCTGGGGGTGGGGGTCTCCACAGGGAAGAACCAGGGCTGGGGATCTTTGGACCACCCAGACCTTAGGGCAGAGAAATGGGTTGGCTCATGCCACTAACCCACCCCCAACCCCTGAAAGAAGAATAAATAAATAAATACTGTATAACTGTGTAGTCCCCCTTCCCCCAGCCTGGCCTGCATCCCCACAAGGGGCTGGTACTACCAACCTCAGTTCCTCTGGCTGATACTCTCCCAGAAACGGGCTGACTGCTCTATAGATAGGTAGGGGGCCTGCCCTACCCAGCAGATTGAGAAACCAGGGCTGGGAGAACATACAGAGCTTGGGTGACTAGGGCACGCGAATGAATGGAGGCCTGGATCCAGCCTGCAGAGTGAGACAAAGTCCTGCCCTGTCTCACTCTGCTCTGACACATGGCTCAGTACAAAGAGCCATACGGTGCCTAGTGGCATTGGCCTCAGAATGGTGCCACAACCCCTCGTCCACCTGCATTGGTCTTGCTGGCACTTTCTGATCCAGCTGTAGGTACGCAGGCACCAGGGTGACTGAAGAAGGGACAATAGGAACCCAAGTCCAGCTGTGTCCTGTGTCCCCTCCAGGATGTAGTTGTGCGAGGCAGGGCAGAGGGCCTGGTCCAGTCAGAGTTGGAAGGGGTACTGTCGGAGGTAGTCAGCCATTCGCCGGGGCAGCGGTAGGCAGTCCACATCGGCCACCAGGCGGTTGATGACTAGGCGACACAGATGCTGTAAGCTTCGGGCACTGCTCCTTCGCACAAAGGGCTGCACCAGCTTTAGATGCACAGCAGTAGCCATGGGGAGAGGCAGGGCTGAGTCACCAGGTGCATCTTGTTTAGGCAGAGGCAGGGCTGGGGTGGGAACAGGATCCGGGCTGTCACTCCGGGTGTCAGCAGCACAGGAGGCCACATAGTGCTGCACAAGGCTGACCACATCTGGGAAGGCCAGGATGCGAGGTCTGGACAAGCAGTTGGAGTCCAGTCGGAAGCTAGAATCAGCATACTCGATACGTACATTGGTTGGGCCACGGGTGGTTTTGACGGACAGCGTGAACAGGTAGCTGGGGTGGGTGCTGTCTCGTACTAGGAATGTGCCCTCTGGCATCTTCTGCAGGTGTTGCCGGGCCTCACTGGCTGTAATGGAACCCCAATACCATCCTAGACAAGTAGAGAGGAGGCCAAGGGACTGATCAGAATGGAAATTACCTCAGGGCACCAACCCAGGGTAGGTGAAGATGGAGAGTCCCTTCACATTTTTCTGGAGAGGGATGTAGCTCTACCATCAGACTTGGGGGGCAGGACCACGCTTCCCAAAGCAGATTCAAAATCCAGAGAGCTTAGTTCCTCCACAGTCTTCCCAGGACAAGGTCTGTCTCTCCCCTGAGACTCACCGGATTCCCGAAGGTAGGAGAAAGTCTTGGCTATACACAGCAGATCCTCCTCAGGGTCTAGCACCTTTGGTTCGCTCTCTGACTGGACAGGGGTCTCCTCTGCCACCTCCTCTGGGAATGCCCCAGTGAGCAAGGGCTGCATGGCTGGCCCAGGCAGCTCCAGAGACTGGGCCCACGGAGGCCGCTGCCCAGTGTGCTCCACAGCCAGCAAAGGACAAGATCTAAAGTGGGCAGATTGGTGACAGGGGTCTCACATAGTCTCCAGTTTTAGAAAAGTTCTTTGATTGCTTCCCCCCAACATACAGATTTTTTTTTTGAAGAAAACTCAAAAAACCAAAAACAAAACAGCTGAGCATTGGTGGCACACGCCTTTAATCCCAGCACTGGAAGGCAGAGGCAGGTGGATTTCTGTGAGTTTAAGGCCAACCTGGTCTACAAGAGCTAGTTCCAAGACAGCTAGATCTACACAGAAAAACCCTGTCTCAAACAAACAAACAAAACAGGATCTCACTATGTAGCCCTGGCTAGCCTGGGACTTGTTATATAGACCAGGCTGGTCTCACACTCACAGAGAACCACCTGCTTCTGTCTCCCAAGTGCTGAATTAAAGGTACAAGCCACTATACCCAGCTCATATATACAGATCCTTCTTTCTTGTTTTTTGGAGTGCTGGAAATTGACCTCAGAGGCTCACAAATGCTAAGCAAGTGCTCTACCACTGAGCTATATATACCCATGCCCCCAGTTTCACAGAACCCATTCTCAAAAGATTCTTTTCTATTCTCCTGCATTTACTATACACAGCCCTCACCAGAATCACAGGCCATTCCCCATGGGCACTTCAGCATTCCTACCACAAGAATGGGAAACCTGTCAACGCAAAAGCTATCTCCCAGTTGTGCTCTGACAGAGGTAGCCTGTGAAATGCCACTGTATCTGGTAGAGTCACAGGATGAACTAGGGCGGGATCCTCAGGGAGACCTCAAGATTACAGGAGAAAGCCTAAGGTTACATGGTAGCTTCCTGTCAATCTCTTGGGGGAACTCAGTCCACACTTGCTAGGACTTAAAGACTTAGAAAAGCTTCTACCCATACCGGCCAGATTCCTATCCTGGGCTCTGCTCCTCCCAGCTGAGGGAGACAGTGGCTTCTAAAGGCACTGGCAACTCTCATCTCTCATAAATAAGAGCTCCCACCAAAGAACAGAATACCCAACCCACATTCCAGACTCCACCCTGTCCAGTCAGTCTTGCTATGTTGTATGATATTGTGTACGGTTTATGCCTCTCTGGGATACAGTTTTCCCTCCTTTCAGATGAGGGCCTACTTGCCCCGAGGGGTTTGGCAATATTGGAGAGCCAGGGTTAGGGAACTTGAGATGGCTGATTCTCAGGGGAAGCCCACCCAGGTGATGATCCAGGGGCCCTGCTTCCCGAGGAAGGAAACGTTAGCTCACTCTCATTTCTAATACAATGCGTCCCTGGGCCTCGGTTCTGTGTCTAGGCCCTGGTTGGATCTTAGGACCTAAGGATAATGAAACCCCAGGCTCTGCCCACACTTGTTGGGGGAAGGAACCCTGTATCAGGTATTGCTTGTAAACAACAAGGGTGGTTAAGAGCTGGTGGCAGTCAGCAGGGACAGAAGCCAGACCTGTAAGTGGTGTTTAGAAGGTCATGGTCCTGTGACCACTCATGAGAGGGGGTGACTGACTGGCTCTGCCTGCCAAGGGTTTTTCCACACCCAAACAATCTGACTGTGCTGTGAGAGTTCTGGAATTCCACTTAGTGAGCCAGAGGCAGCGTTTTGAGGTGATCTGCCTGCTGGGGCTCATAGCCTGATCCAGGTACCCTCTGAGAGTATGTGGGCAGCCAACCAGTCATTCCACAGCCTCTGTGGTAAACACGACCAGACAGCCTCTTGCACAGGTCCCACATGTGTGAGTAGCAGGCAACCCTGGGGCTGGCATGGTGTCTAGGTATGGAACAGCTATGTTAATCCCCACAGGTTCCTGGGGAGAAACTACATATCTAGGTAGGTAGGGGTGTGTCTACCACCGTATCATTGTGGTGGGGGTGAGGGCCAGTGTGTTCCAAGAACCTGTGTGTGCATGTCTTGGAATCTAGCCTGAGGACACATGCCGGGCGAGATGAACAAAGCCTAGGTTTGGGATACAGGCACATCTGCTAAAGACCTTCTTTCCCTAATACCCAACGCAGGCCCTGAGGGGCCCAGGGGCCTTCAGTTAAGGCGAAGTCAAAGAGGCTGTCGGGACCCAGAATGGAGGAGGGACACTCAAGAGGGAAGGCGGTGTGGGAGTCTGCTGAGGAGCCCAAAATTCGAAGAATGAAGGACCACGGCAGGTCCCACCGGGGACTAGTCTTCCCAGCACCTCCATGCCGTCTTCCAGTGGCCCAGGCCTGCTCAGAGCAAGGGCGCTTCAGTCCAGCCCCACCTTCTACCACCGGCACCATACCCATGTCAGTTATAACAACTGCTACCGGGCCACCCAGCTCCCCCTGGGTGTGTAATGCCCACCTAAATCATCTCCTCCCAGCGTTTCCTGAATTACTGACTCACCAGTGACTTAAGGGGATGCTGAAACAGTGTGCACAGGTGTGCCAAAGAAATTCATCTGAGGCCAAGATTTTGTCTTTATCAAAGCCTCCCTCCCACTACAGTCCCACACTCCGTCTTGGGAAACCTTGGAGAAGGTGGGCTAAAAAGAGGCGTGGCGGTGCACCTAAAGGTGTTAGTTATCAGGCGCCAGCCTTGGGAGAGTCAAAGCCCTCAGGCTGGCTTCCTAAGAAGAGTCTAACCACTGACCTGAACAGAGAATGGGGCTAGCTCAAGGTCACCGATAGGTAGGAATCTGGAAGGCTAAGTAAGCTCTGGGCTCAGAAAGGTCTAGACTGGTGAGCTCCATCCTGGGGGACCTCTTACAGTTGGCGCCAGTGAGATCCCACCGCTCGCCAGCCCCGTTTCCCTATCCACACACTAAGTGTGTGTGTGTGGGTATTCTAGGCGCACCACTCGCGCTCCATCACCTCCAACCGGTCAAGCCCTCCCAAATCCCGCAGCTAGCCCGAGGCCGGAGATTTCCGGTGCTTCCCGCTTGGGGCATGGGCAGGGAGAGAGCTGTGCTTACCCCTGTACGCAAAGGACCATATCCCAGAGGCAGCGGCGGCTGGAGAGTCAGGACTCGGCGGGACGGGAGCAGAAGGGAGCCAGCGGGTGTCGAGGGCGCGAAGGTCAAGGTCCCGGGGCGCACGGGCGACTAGCAGGGACTGAAAGGCTGTGGAGCTAGCAGCCTGGAAGGACGAGGGGGGACGGGCCGGACGGGAGGGAGGGGCGGGGCCAGGCGCCTCCTAATCTTTTGTCCGCTGCGTCCCAGCCCTTCCCGGAAGCCGCATCTTCCTAGAACCGCAGGTTTTGTGGTGGCCGGGAGGGGAACAGGGGCGCTGGCGTCTGGGGCTCCGGACTGCGAAAGGAAACACCTTTGACAGATTTCCAAGAACTTTCCAGGAAAAATGGGCGGGAGCTCCTCGAGTTGACCAATCGCAGCTCTGGAGGTGGAGCGGAGTACCTGGACGGGCCAATTGAAGTGCGTGGACCCTGGACTGACGTAATGAGTAAGGCGGGACCTAGAGACCGGTAGGGAGAGGCTGGGTTGGGGGCAAGTTAAGGAGGGTTGCGACTCCGGCAACTTGTGGGCAGATTGTCTTCCTTTCCTCTGCTTCTTTGGGATTAGGTGCGCTTATCTCCCCGTAGAAGCACAGCAGCGCGGGGGCAGGGTCCGGGCCAGTCCTCCTGGCTAGCCGCTCCGAGCCGACATTGCTTTAGGGTTCCCTATTGAGTCTCCCCACTGAGTCTCACTTTGTGTGAAGTTGACGAGAGATAGGTGTGAGATCTGGAGACAGACTTAGAGAGAGGCGTGGAGCGCATAAGGGGGCCGAGGAAATGATCAGGTCTACTGTGATCACCACAGCTAGAAGGATTCAGGCTACATCTAATCTTTTTTATCAAATGAGTCCATCCCGTCTGTGCCTGATCTCTGAGTGAGCCTCCAGTCGTGGAAATTACGCACCCCCCCCCAGGAGGTAAACAGAGGCAATCCGCTCCCAGATAGCCCAGTTTATGGCTTGGTGAGGTACAACCAAATGTTGTGAGAAAACTGAGTTCAAATAAAGGGAGAGTTTGGGGATAGGATCACAGAACTAGGGGACAGAACAGTGACACCGCTCTCCTGTAAAACAGAGAACTTGCTATGTTTTATTCCCAGTAACTCACCAGGGAGAATTAAAAAAAAAAAAAAAAAAAAAAAGGATCCAGACTGGCCTGGAACTGAGTATGTAGACCAGGCTATTCCCAAACTTTCCAGTACAGGCTTCCAGTGTGGGATTACAGGCTAAGCCACTGTGTCCAGTTTACCAAGGAGCATCCTGGTAGGGTCTATTGAGAATATCCTCCAAAACCTTGGTCCAGGATATGGGGAGATGAGATCTGGGGAGCCAGTGGTATCCATGACTTCCACACCCGTCACTATCAAGCGTGTGTGTCCCTTCCCTCCACACATGCCACCCCACCCAGGTTCCTCAGAAAGGGTGGCTACAAGATCTTTGGCAGGGACGACAGGTTTCTGGCTGTGTATAGAATCTTGAATAATAGAGTCTGGGCTTTCCCCAACACAGATAAGGCTCTGGGTGCCCCACCCAAGATAGAGAGCTGAAGATAAGTCTGTGAAATGGAAAGAGTACTTAAGTGAAGATCAGAAATGACTCCAAGGGACCCAGTTCTCTGTAGCTGCCTCGAAGGGGAAGTTAGACTTCAGGGTAACCCAACCACGGCTCCCAGAGTAGAGTAGGAAGCCAGTTTCTTGGAATGTGGGTGGGTGAAGCTGGGAGCTCTGTGTGGCTGCTAACTCTTCAGAACTGTCTATTGCCACATTGCAATGAAGATAAGGGGATTTCATAGATGTCATGCAACTCTCTCTCTCTGTGTGTGTGTATGTGTGTGTGTGTGTTCACATGTTTGCAGGTGCCATGGCACTCATGTGGAGGTGTGGAGTCAGAGGATAGCCATGGGAGCCCCAGAGCTCATACTAAGGTTTCCAGGCTTGGTGGCAAGCACCTTGATCTGCTGGTCTGTTTCACTGGCCCCAGAGCTGTGATTTTGAACTTGGATCTTTATGATGCCACATTTCAAGTACTCTACCCCAAGACTATGTCTCTTATAGTTCACTGTGACTACTGGTCACTTACTGTATGCTAGACACTCAGCAAATTTTATTTCTAAGTCACAACTACCACAGATAACGCTGCCTTTTATGTGAGGAAACTAAGACAGATTACAGTGTGCTTAGATCTTACAGCCAGCAAGTAGTGTGTTGCAACCAAAGCCCTCCAACCTTCCGAATACTTCTTCTCTAGGTCAAAGTAACCAGCAAACTCCTCGGCATCCCTCCTGTCCTCACTCTAGTCTGCATCCGAACTCCTGGGTATCCCCCTTGGAAGTATCTCCTACAGAGGTCAGGGATTAGGAAATTCTGTGCAAACCAGTGTCCACAAGGCGTTTGGCTCTCCGATAGTCTTCTGTGGATTTAACAGTGTTATGCACCTCACCTGTGCGCTGGTATCTGTGGCATGCCTCTGTTCTGCCCAAACTGCCCACCTACTTGCTTCATTCAAGCTCTGTGAATAACTCTGACCATTTCCTTATTACCTCTCGAGTCCCTGGCTGCTCCCCTTGAAAGGACCCCCTCCTCCTTGACTGCTGGGCCCACACTGCCACCTAGTGGCGCCTCTTCAGCCCTCACTAGCCAAATATCCAGAGATACTTTCTAGAGTATTCCATCCCAGGCACTGTGTGGATTCTGGTTGCTGCAGGACACTTTTACCTTTCCCCTTGCTAGAAAAAAAAAATCACAAGATGAATAACAAGAATGCACAGCAATATTTCCTCAATATCTGGTTTCCGTCCTTTCACCATGAGCAGGTTCCTTTTATGAAAAGGCAATTGTAGTGGGGAGCGAGGACTGCCCTCCACCAGGCACTTACTGGATGGTCTGTCTGGTCACTGTGAGCCACTACAAAGGCCCCAGTCTCTGCTCCCTCGAACACAACTATTACAAAGGGCTAAGTGGCGGAGACCGCTCACACCCAGCGTCCTATGTTTAAGTCTTTTCAACAGTGTGAAAGGGGGCATGATTCCAGGTGGTTGCTGCAGCATAAGCATTGAGAAGAAGCTACATATTCTGATTTTAAGTGTGTGTGTGTGTGTGTGTGTGTGTGTGCTTGTGTGTGTGCATGTGTGTGTGTGTGTGTGTGTGTGTATGCCACAGCGAGAGTGTAGAGGTTAGAAGGCAACATTGTGAAATCTATTCTCTCCTTCCAGGTCTCTGGGCTTATATAGAGAGTGCACATTTATCCACTGAGCCATCTCACCAGCCCAGGAAGGGCATTTTTTTATGGGACTACTTACTTTCTATGCTTCAGTGTGGCTTGAACAATTGCAGCAAGCAAGTTTGACTTCTATGAATATAAATTTTAACTAAATGAAGTGTATGGCGGCTCACATCTGTAATTCTAACACCTGAGAGGTTGAGGTAGGAAGGTCAGGAGTTGAAGGTCATCTTTGTCTACTTAGTGAGTCTGATGTCAGCTTGGGCTACACCAGACCCTGTCTCAAAAACTAAATTAAATGGAAGATCCAGGGATGGGTTCATTGTTCTTGATTCCCATCATTACTTAAAGGGAAACTTTTTACACAATGTCCTCAAATTCCCTGAGGCAGGGACCACCTTCAGATGGAGCAGCACATCTACGAAAGGAAAAGTGATGGCATCTATGTCATAAATCTGAAGAGGACAAGGGGGAAGCTGTTGCTTGCAGCTCGGGCTATGGTTGCCATTGAGAACCCTGCTGATGTCAGCATCATCTCCTCAGGGAACATCAGCCTTTAGGGCACTTAAAATCTAGCCCTGTGTATGAATATAGGTATGTCTCTCGTGTGCACGGTGTATGAATATAGGTGTGTCTTGTGTGCACTGTGTATATACCAGGGTTTCTCTTTTAGGCCACCGACCAGCTCCCAAATCACAACACAGAGACTTATTCTTAGTTTTGAATGCTCGACCTAGGTTAAGGCTTCTTTCTGGCTAGCTCTTTTAACTTAACCTGTTTATCTACCTTTTGCCCTGGGGCTTGTCACCTTTCTTACTTCTGTATATCTTACTTTCGCTGCTTCTCTATGGCTGCCTATCTGGCATCTCCCTCGTTCCCCCCTCCTTCTCTCATTCATCCTCCCTCTCTTCTCCCATTTATCTTCTCTGTCCGCCAGCCCCACCTGTTCTTTCTCTGCCTAGCTATTGGCCATTCAGCTCTTTATTCGACCAATCAGGTGCCCTAGGCAGGCAAGGTGAAACAAATGCAACACATCTTTTCATAATTAAACACACCCTTACATTGTTAAACAAATGCAGCATAGACAAATGCAACACAGCTTTACACAGTTAAATTAGCATTCTGCACCATAAACACATGTAACACATCCGTGCCTAGTTAAAATACCACCAGTGTGATGCGTGTGTAAGAGTGTACTTGCACATGTGGATGAGCAGAGAGGGAAGCATCATGGGAGGAGGTCGTTATTTGAGAGGGTTTAACTTCGAGCTTGTGCTTTGGATTTGAAATGGGGGGGCTCTCAGCATCATGTGGTGTGAAAAAATGGGGGTTTCTCTTGCTAGTTGCTCATTTCAAACAGGTTATTTGCTCCCTCTGGTCTTGTTTCTCTTGTGTGTTTTCAATGTGTGTCTAAAGGGATGGTGACCTCTTCCTTCTCCATCTCAGTGAGGCCGTGGTGTTCACAGGAAGTGCCCTTATGATCACCATAAGGGCTCTTATCTAGAACCTCTGTTTCACTGGTTATTGCCAGCTTAGATGTTGCCTGGAGGAGACAGGCCGAACCACCCGTAAACAGAGAGTACCCACAAATAGTTGCAGTATTCTTCACAAAGTGGTTATCAGCAATGGGATGCAATTGTATAGACAGAGGGTCACCAAGTTCCTGCTAGCTAGGAACTAATTCTCTGACAATTGTGGATGTTCATCCATGTGTCTTTGTATGTGTTGTGGTGGGACATTATAGAAGAGGTCTTCAAAGTCACCAATTTGTAGGCCAGGAGATTTATACACTTTAGAGGGCCTTTGGGTAGGACAGAGGTCCTGGTGTCTGTAGTTCTGAGTGTAGCCTGAAGATGGCAGCAGAGTCCTATTCAGAGCCACTGTCAGAAAGTCTCAAGGAATCGCTGGTGTTTCTCAATTAGTGGGTTGTGGATATGGTTGGAAGATTTGTCACAAGAGACACAGTCTCGATCTCTGTGACTCTTGCCGAGTCCCTTTGATTCTTCTGTAAAATAAGAGACTTCTGGGAAAGCTGGCTCAAGATATCTATGATAGGCTAAGATGGACAATGAACTTCATGTCTAAATGCAGAAAGGGAAATTTCAAAGCTAATAGAGAATCTGTCTCTAGGATAAGAGAAAGAGAATTTAATGTCAAGTTAATCTCTATTTATTTGGTTTTCGAGACAGTGTTTCTCTGGAACTTGCTTTGTAAACCAGACTGGCCTCTAACTCAGACATCCGCCTTCCTCTGGATTAAAGGCTGGGATTAAAGGCCTGCGCCTTTATAAACAGCCTCACGGTGTAGCCTAGGTTAACCTCGAACTCACAATCTTCCTGCCTAAACTTTCTTCGTGCAGGAGTTACAAGCTTTCACCACCACGACGACCAGAGACTTGAAATAGAACCTAAAGCCCAAACCATAATGTGAAAAGTTGATGTACCCCGCCAAATGGGAAATCCGATTCAAGAACATCCCAGGTGTGTTCACCCTGCATCTGCGGACCACATGGCGTCACAGGACAGCATGAATGTGGCCCAATACATTTGTGACTGACAAGTCGCAAAGTCAAGAGGTTGGTCAGGCAGTGTACAGAAAGAAAAGTGGGCTAGTGCTAGAGAGGTACCCTGAACCACCAGGGACTGGAGTGGCGAATCAAGCAACATACCACTTCCCGGGGCAGATTGGCAGAAAAATTAGGTTGAATTCTAGAGCGCTTAGCCACCTGGAAAGTCGGGAGTCTTAACAAGCCCCTTGGCCGCGTGCAAAAAGAACGCGGCGCTCAAGAGCCCTTAGAGAAACAAAATGTTACTGCTTTCACTTGCGTTGTCACTTTTCTAGGTCACGGATAAAATCCGAGACTGGTACCGCAGTTGGAGGAGTTTCTACTGGTGTCCCAGGGCGTCAGGAAAGTTGCAGCCACTTCAGGAGGCCACGCCCCCATTTTGTCCGGGCTCGGGGCGGAGCCTGCCAGGGCCTGTGCCCTGGCCAGCTCAACCCGAACCCGCCTGGCCCTTTAAGGCTGACCTAGCGGGGCCCCAAGTCCGCATGACGTGCCGGGAAGGGGGGTGGGGGTCACGTGGGCCGCGGGCGGCGAGACTTGGGCCCTGGGCGCCCCTCGGCTACCGGCTCCTCGGATCACTATTCCTCGCCCGGCTCGCCTGCAGCATGGCTTCCGTCTAGTGCAGTGCCACCGAGTGCGCCTTCGCCAGGTACGCTCTCCCGGGACCCCTGTATGACCAGATCTCGGAATCTGGCGGCCACCCAGCGCCGAGCTCCTTCCCCACTCGACATGTGCCAGGGCTGAGTGATCACCTCCTTCCCTGCTGCTCGTAGGTACTCTCGGGCAGTTTCCAGCTTGTCTTGGGGCCGGCAGCCCAGTCAGTCTAGTTCTGGAGAAACCAAGGCTGGGGTGTGTCCAAAAGTGTGGGGAGTGGTGACTCTTTCCCTTTCCCTCAGGTGCCTCTGGACGCACCAGGCTGGGGCTACCTCCGAGCGCCCCGTGGGGGCCATGGATGGCGAGACAGCAGAGGAGAAGGGGAGTCTTGAGCCCCCGCCAGGTGCACTCGATGGGCCCACCTTGGGTGGTGCTCAGGCCCTAGGTGTGCGACGAGAGCCTAAGAAGTATGCGGTGACTGATGACTACCAGTTATCCAAGCAGGTGCTGGGCCTGGGCGTGAACGGCAAGGTGCTGGAGTGCTACAATCGGCGCACCGGGCAGAAGTGCGCCTTGAAGGTTCGTGGCCGTCTCTCGGAGGGCTGGGGTGACCAGGAGGGTTCAGCCGCAGATGCCTGTGGGTGTGTGTCTGAGGCCTCTATTAAGCATCTACACTTAGCATCATGTTTTATTTTTATACTCTTCCTCTAAGATCAGACTCGTGGTCACTTGGGGAAACAGAGGCTCAACCTACCCAGGCTCCGGGTGTGTCCCAGAGAGCAAGGGGAGGAGTCATTGTGAGTAGGGCAGCTGTACCCGGAAGGTGGGAAGGAGAGGCTGTATGCTCTGGTTCTGACTTGGGCTATGTGTTCAGGCCCAAGTGGGCCTCTTACTGCTTGGCTACCCACCCCCCACAAGTAGCTCCTGCTAAGGTGATGGGTCTAACTTTCCCTCTACCTGAGGCTGAACCCCCAAGGCTCAGAGTGGCCTGCTTCCTCCTCATTGCCTCTGCTTGCTTAGGCTGGACTGACTGTGAGTCTCTTAGAGCCAGTTAGTGGGGCAAAAGCTGATACCCACCACCCCTTAGGGTGCTCTTTGACCACTGGGATCTTGATGAATTGTTAGTTCCCTGTGGAAAGGGGCCAGCTCTGCTCCTAGACTGTCCCACCCTGGACAATGATGGGCAGGCATTTAGTCACATCATATTCAAGGTTCCCTAGCGACCTGGCACATTGATGTAGGTGGACTGGGGGAATGGCTTGGAGTAGCAGATCTCTGAATCTGGCTCCAGGCACCCAGTTCCAGCCCAAGAACCCCCATGTCTGCTGGTGTTTCCACTCCACTCCTCCAGAATCCCTTGAATCGCCTGTCATTGGGAACCTGACCCAAATGGAGGCAATGTCATTGGCACCGGATGGTACAGCATGGAGGAAGAGTGGCTCTTGGAAGTCAGTTTAGTAGAGAAAGGTCTGTTTTACAAGTTGCCAGAAGGAGCCAGGGTGCAGAGTCCTGTAGATGTGGCTGTAATCTCTACTTTGTGTGTGCCAGCTATGTGACCTTGGGTGATACCTTGGACGGTTATAGTTAAGTCTCTGACTTTGTTCAGGGAGAAAGAACAGGCGTTGGTGTGAGCTTGAACTGAGAAGAATCATGCAGGACGTACTTGAGGCACAGAATCTACAGAGTTTGAGGACCCAGATCCTATTCTTTGTCTTTCTCTGGTGTATCAGGGCTCACAGAGGAGGAGGTTGTCCCCCAAGCAGAACTCTGGAGGGGATCAGGAAGGTGGCTCAAGGGCAGGGTAAGGATTGACCTGGGGGCTGGGACCTAGGTATAGTTTCTTTATCCACTGACCCAACGCTAGAGCTTTGAGGTTCCAGGCAGGGGGTTTTCTGAGTCTTCTGGGAGAAGGTGGCTTATCTTTTATTTTCTTTCTGTTTTCAAAACAGGATTTCTCTGTAGCTTTGAAACCTGTCCTGGAGCTCACTGTGTAGACCAGACTGGCCTCGAACTGGAAGAGATCCACCTGCCTCTGCCTCTCGAGTGCCCTAGTGGTCTCGATGTCCTGATCTGGGAACCGTGGCAGTTCTGGAGTAGTTTTAACTCTGTACCCCTTAGTCTTAAGGGTGAGCATGACTGGAGCTACTTGCTGGAGGCCCCAAGATATGGCCCTAAACTGACCCCCAAGGGAAGACAGAGATGAGATGTGACCCTCACCCTAATTCTTTCTTATCTTGGCTCCTACCCTCAAAAAGGGGCCAGCACAACCTCTGGTCCAGTGACTGTGTACATATTGTTTCAGTGGCTTGGCCTTGGTAGGGGGGGGGGTCTTCTCACTCATAATTTCTGTCCTCTGCTCAGAAGCACAAGGACATATTGGGGGTCCCAGCATAGTGGCAGGCCTGGGATGGGGGAACTCAGCCAGTCCCTGAGTGGGTCCTAACCCTCTACCTAGCTGTTTCTAGCTCAGCCGAGGAAAAGCTATGGGCCCTGTGCCTTTGTGCCTTCTTAGAGCAGTGCCTCAGTTTGTTAGGCTGTCCTGTCCTCACCCTGTAACCTGAATTTGGTCAAGCCATCCCTTTTCTATGCTCATCTATAGACTTTGTTGCCTGATGGGCCAGAAGGTACCTAACAGGAAACCTAAATGCAGCAGGCACTCATGAAACAGGAAGAGTGTGGTCATTGTCCCAGTAGCTGCTACCATTTGTAGGGCCTTAGAGGAACAGGCCCTCTCCCTCTTCCCCTTTCTCTCTGCTGCTGACTTACTCTGGTTTGGCCTTGTGCACAGCAAGACCTCTTTCCCCAGGACAACTTCTGTGACCAGCAGAGCATTTGGTTGCACCCCGAGCACTTATGCTGTGCTGTTGGAACTAGAGGCTGGGGTGCCTCGGGGAGTACAGGGGCATGCATACAGTCTTCTTTTCCTCCTGCTAACATCTTGTGCTCCTTCCTAGGCCTAATTGATTAAAAGCACATGTGACCCAGACACTTAGTGCCTGCAAGTAAAAACAATAGAAGGACCTGGGGAGACATGGGGAGCACACACTGGAGGAGAGTCAGGGTCTTTTTCTGCTCCTGATGCTAGATAAGGACTGGGGACCCTCCCTTCTGATCACCGTGGCCTGTTGGATGCCCTCTGGGCTCCCAGTGCCTCCCCTTCTCTTCTTTAAGAGAACGGCATGGCGGCGTGGACTACCTCCTGTAGAGTCTTCCAGGTGGGGTCTCCACAGTGAACACCCTCCTCCCACGCTCAACATTAGGGAGCGACTGGCTGCCTCGCCCTGAACAGCTTTTTCCATTCGTGTTGATGGCTGAGGCGAGCTAGGCTGCTCTGGATGTGTGCTGTGTAGGACCACAGTGATATTCTGAAGCACAACACCGCAGAGGAACTTTCCCATGATTGATTGGAAACAGCACCCTTGAGACCAGGAGCTCTCGCTTGGTGTCACCAGGGCTTGACTCTCCACCTTTTGAGCCTGAGTATGGCATACAAGACTTTTGCAGTTCAGTCCTCGGCCTTTGCTTCCCGAGGCGACCGACTTTCTTCTGTATTGAAGCCATGTCCCCCGCCACTCCTTCCAGGAAGGTGTCCTGAGACTGACCTTTGGAGCAATGGAATTTTCTTTGCCCCTAAAGCTGTAGATCAAAGCTCCCTGCAGCACCTGGGCCCAGGGCCAGGCATGCAGTAGTGGCTCCTAAGTGCTTATTGGGATAACCAAGCTCAAGGACCTGGGCTTCTACTAATCTCTCCTACAGTCTCTCAGAGATTAACCACGGGGAAATGCCGCTCCCCAGTCTAAAGGCCTGAAATTCACAAGGGCAGGCAGCAGCTTCGCTCTCCCAGACAGAGGCCACTGTGGAGGCCTGTGGAGGAAGTATCCTTCCATGAGGCCCTTTCTGCCACCAGGCCACACCTGCGAGCAGAGGGGCAGGGAGGAGGAGGAAGCCTGAGTGAGAGGCAGAGAGAGAGAGACTGGATCCAGGGTGCCCCACCCTGTTGCTCCATGGGCGGGGATGGCCTGTTGGGGCTGGTGTGGTCAGGCTGGATTTGAGGCTGGGTGGGGCTGCCAGGCAGGGCAGGCTTTTCTCATTTGGCAGCCTCCACCTCCTCACCTGCCATCTCCAGACCAGTCAGATGAGCCTCTGCTTCTTGTTACTCACTCAGGGGTCAGAGGCACATGCCTGGTCCAGTGGCCCCGCACAACAGAGTCCCTGGAAATGAACAGGTTTCACTGGCCAAAGAGTCTCACCCGGTGACTCCTCACTTAGAAGGAAAGAAATATCAGGGGAGCCTGGAGGTTTCTGAACACCAGGGGCAATCCATTTGGCTAAGCAGGTTTCAGGAAAGCATTAAACCTACACAGCAAAATTGGGGTTTGGATCTAGGTTTGAGTGTTCTGAGATTATACCAGGGCTTAAAAAATCATACATTTGTTGGGCAGTGGTGGCACATGCCTTTAATCCCAGCACTCAGGAGGCAGAGGCAGGCGGATCTCTATGAGTTCGAGACCAGCCTGGTCTACAAGAGCTAGTATCAGGTTATCCTGCAAAGCCACAGAGAAACCCTATCTCAAAAAACAAAACAAAACAAAAAATCATACAAATACTGATAATAAATCATCAAGACATTTATTTAACATTTTTAATTGTAGGTACAATGCAACTATTTATTAAAAATGAAAGAAAAATTCCATATTAACGAGATGAATGTACTTGTTTATTTATTTATTTTGGTTTTTCAAGACAGGGTTTCTCTGTGTAGCCCTGGTTATCTTGGAACTCACTCTGTAGACCAGATTGTCCTTGACATCATAGAAGTCTGACTACCTCTGCCTCCATAGTGCTGAGATTATTTTTTGTGGTGGTTGTTTTTGGTTTTTTGAGACAGGGTTTCTCTGTGTAACAGTTCTGGTTGTCCTGGAACTTGCTCTGTAGATCAGGCTGGCCTTGAACTCACTGAGATCCACCTGCCTCTGCCTCCCAAGTGCTGGGATTAAAGATGAGCACCACTATTGCCCAGTACTTTTGTTTATTTTTGACATAAAGAAAGATATCTTGGCTGAGTATTTGACACCATAGGACTTAGATTGTTTTTCAGGGTTGAATAATATTTTGATTTTACAATCATTAATGCTTTTTTACATAAATAGTATAAAATGAAACTGGATGTGGTAGCACATGCCTCTTTAAATCCTAGCTCTTGGGAGGCAGAAGCAGGTACATCTCTGTGAGTCCCAGGTCAACCAGGGCCTACAGGGTAAAATCCTATATCTAACAAAGAAAAGTGGGCTGGATAGATGGCTGAGCGGTCAAGAAACACTTGTTTTTGCAGAAGGGTAGGGGTTCAGCTCCCAGAGCCCATATGGTGGTTCACAACTGTCTGTAACGCCAGTTCTAGGAGATCCAGTGCCTTCCTCTGGGCTCTGCAGGCATCAGACACACGTGGGGTACACATACATGCATGAAGGCAAAATTGTCATACACATAAAATAAAAACAGGCCAATCTTTTAAGAAAAGAAAATGGTAGAAGTACGTTTAGGGCCTTTTCAGAAATTGTTGGAAATCCTGTCCTAATCTC